GCCTCGTCCTCCTGACCTACTCACCTTCACCAACATCCTTCCTCTGATTGAAGGCCGCCATTCCTCCTTCCATCATCCCCTTTTTAATTCCCCCCCCCTCCTTCCTTGATCAAAATCAGAAACGACATCAAGAATCCTCCCGGAACTTTTTTGAGAATTAAAGTTTTAAAAAGAACTTGAAAACTGGCTAGGTTCTAAGCATAGCTTGGATCGCAGCAATAGACATAGAGCATCGATATTTACGATGATTATCTGAGATGTCCAGAGCCAGACTTGCGGTTGAATAGAATCAAAAATTTTATAGAAGCTTTTATAGGAAATTATTTACGATGATTATTTGAGATGTCCAGAGCCAGACTTGCTGTTGAATAGAATCAAAAATTTTATAGAAGCTTTTATAGGAAAATTATTTGAAGAGTCTTTTGGGAATACTTTTGACGATACCCTGTCGTCTGAGATGTCCAAAACCGAACTTGCGATTGTATAGAATCAGAAGTTTTTTAGAAGATGTAGGAAAATATTTCGAAAGAATGTTTTGAAGGATGGTTTTGAAGATACCTAATCGTATTCCATTGAGCAAAATCGGAATATATCACGAGGGTAAAGAAATCCACAAAGAGTAATAAACGGAAGCATCAAGACCATATTAATCATCAAGCAATTAAGGAAACGAAATCATGCTAGACACTTAACCTAGAAAATAGGGCCCTGCTGTGAAATCACACCTGACAGGACAACGCAGATCCCGTACGAAAACCTTCTCCCTTCTTCCTCAAACCCTTCCTTCCACTTACCTCTCACCCTTCAAACCCTACCCCTGCACCTTTAGGGAAAGAAGAGTTCACTTCCTCTGTGGCATACTGCGTAGCCACAGGGACCCTGCAGGGCCCGTCCCGCACTTTCAGCCTAAAAGCCTAGAAAATAGGGCTCACAGGCCTCGGTCGTTTCAGCCTGAAACTGAAAAACGAGGGCCTGCAGGCCCTATTCCGTTTTCAGCCTATTTCTGGGCCTTTCAGGCCCAGAGGCTTTTCATCCTGAAACGAAGGGCCATTTTCAGGCCCTCATCGTTTCGACCAACCCTAGGACTCAGGCACAAAAACAGGGTTTTTGGAACAGGCTATCTTTAGCCTGTTCCCCATGACAGCTCGAGCAGGAGCTGCAGCTGCAGCCCCTGCCTCCCTTCGGCATTGGCAAGAGCAGCCTCCTGGACTGCCTCGCCTGCAACCAGGAGGACCCGAGTAGTACATAGAAGGTTCCCATGCACTTCACGGGTAGGTAGTTGTCAGTAGGCACGAGTAGTCTTCAGGATTCGGCCGCAGCACTCAGGAGGAGCGCTGCAGTAGTCTTCAGCGCTAGGCAGTAGTCTTCAGCGTTAGCTGTAGTCTTCGGCGCTGGGCGCCCATAGCTGTAGGTATAGTCTTCAGCGTTGGGCACTAGTAGGTGGTAGTAATAGCATTGGAGGGAGATAGCTGGCGGAGGCCAGCGGTACTTACCTGTGGCGCCATAGCTCCAGCTCTATCTTCGAGGTACCTGCATCAAGGCGCCAACTTCAGAGGTTAGTACTGGACAGAGAGAGAGAGAGAGAGAGAGAGTTCTCCTTCTTCCTCTTCTAAGTCCACCATCTCTTCTCACCCTCTCACCACCTGACTTCTCAGACTACGACAGAGAGAGAAAGAGTTGTGACTTGAGACTTGACGACATTGGATCCAGACTTGACATTTGGGATTCAGACATTTCGACGAGGGACTATTTGGGCTGTGCCGAAGACTTGGTGTTGATGACATTCCCATCTTCCCCTCCTCTTCGTCTAACCTCCTTCTTCTTCGTCTGTGTATGGTAGGGGCTGGCGCAGTCTTCCTGTGTGAAGCGCCAGACCCCATTCACACCGTGTAACGATGATGATGATGTATGTTCAGGGCTGCATTGCAATATTGATTGTTCGGATCATTGGTATCTAAGTCTTCTGCTGTGCTATCGTATACTTTGTATTGAGAGGTCGGTTCTTGTTCTGGTCTGCACCGTTCAGTATGCAACATCCTCCCACTGCTAGTTCAAGGCTCAAAGCTGCTTTAACTCCAAAGGCATAAGCGGCCATCTTCGATCCCTATAGGGAGTCGAAAACAGTGTGGCACCCCTCGCCAGGCCCGTAGACAAGTCACCACAGGAGGTTCGAGCCACCGTAGCTGTAGACTTACCACACACTTACCTATAGTTGAGGAAGAAGGCAGAATCACTGCGTCGTCTCATGAACCACATCGTACCCAACAAAACCCGAGGCCATCAAATCAGTAACTTCAGCCATCTCCATTTGGACCGTCAAAGCTTCGTCCTCCCCGCCGCTGGCATGCAGCTTCTGAGCTGCTTCCCAAATAAAACGATCTTTACCCGGCTTCCTGGTCTGTTGATGTCCCCGATGAAAGGGAAAGATCAGGTGCTTTTTTTTTTTTTTCACGAACAACCCAGGTGGATGCTAGGGTTTCTGGTAAGAGAAGGCACCACTTGCACTTCCCGGGAGGCTCCATCCATCTATTGGTGGGGAGCAGCACCTGCTGGAAAGCGGGTCCATCGTCCCTGAACATTTAAATGGCTTGTTTAAACAGATATGCAGTTGTGATGGCAGCCGGCCGAAGGACTCCTCTGCAGAAGCAAGATTTGGCAGGCAGCACTGTGCAGTGGCCTGAGCTGCTTGCCTACATGACAACCTATGTCTAGCCTAACCCTATTCATACCATACACTGTCCGTCAAATACATATCTCAGTCCTTGTAGTTCATGCCCCACCAATAGATGGAGCTGTTTGTAGAATTAAAAAAAAAAAAAAAAAAAAAAANTTTTTTTTTTTTAACACAAATGGAGCTGTTAGTAATGTTGCTATGAACATCCACCACTAACAACCCAGCTACTAGCTCCAGTCTATTGGTGGGGAGCTGCACCTGCTGGAAAACGGGTCCAGCGTCCCTCATACAAATGATGCTGATACATAACCAAGAAGACAGGAAATGTGGATAGTAGGGAGGGCTGCCTCTTCAGCCAGAACATGGCCGCCAGATCCTCATAATGATGCTAGCTGAGCTACCTCCTCTATCTTGATCATTATGGGTATTCTGCAAATTGTTCAGTTCTACATTCTCCAACAGAAACTCTCGCCTTGTTCTGGTCTGCACCGTTCAGTATGCAACAGTTTGGTATTGGAGCGGACCTCTCATTCAGAGGACCCGCTCAATCAAATAGCCAGCTTGCTTGATATATCGATTACTCATTAGTAAATCAAGTAGGACTTCGTCAAATCTCTGAATTTTTTTTTTCTTCTCGCAACAACTATCTGAAATTTCTGATATTCGCATTTCGTTTTACCTGAAAATTTCTAATATTAGTATTTCGTTTTTACGTAACAAATATCTGTAAATTTTGGATAAATCGTATTTCGTTTTGTCTGAAAATTCCCGATAGAAGCATTTCGTTTCTCTGATATTTCGCATACATAGCTGAAAATTTTTGATGTTAGTATTTCGTTCTCTAGGCATATTGGGATAACGATAGAAGTGGTCATATTCTCGAAAACCGGAATTATTTTTTTCTGAAAATCGAATTTCCATTCTATCTCGCAAATTTTTCTGAAAACCGAAATCTTGCAAAGCCTACCAATATTGCGTTAGGCAGGGTTACTTGACTGAACGTTTGGGGGCCCCCGGGCTGGCCCCCGAACGTTCGGGCATTCGGGGTCCCGTTCAGGGGCCGAACACCTCCAGGTTGGACCCCCTGCCAAAAATTGTTTCGGGGCCTAAAAATAAGTTTTTGTTTCTGATTTTTTTTTCCGTGAGTTCTCTATGATGTAACCTACACGCCTATAAATTTTGAAGCCATTCTGCTAAGCCAAACAAACATTAAAAATCGTCAAAGATGGGGGTGTCAAAACGTGCTCGCCCACTCACTATTTTGTTTTTAGTCACTTTTCACTTTTTGTTTTCATTTTATTTCGGGACCAAAAAAAAATTATTATTTTTTGAAAACTTTTTAATGAGTTATTGATTATGTAAAATACATATCGGTAAATTTTCAGGGCATTTGTCAATGCCAAAAAATAATTAAAAATCGGCAAAGATGGCGGTGTCGAAAAGGTGCTGTCACGCTCACTCATTTTAATTCTCTTTTTATTTTTTCTTATTTTTATCATAGTGTTTATTTTCTGTACTTGATTTTTAATTCAAATTCGGTAAAGAATTTGGATATGATGCCCAGGCAAATGTTGTTTAGTTTAGTTTTCTCCATGACATATTGTTTTTTCGGAATTTCTTAAAAACTTTGGGTTTTTTTTTTTTTTGGTCCGCGTTCAACCTGAACGGCCGAACGACTTTTGAAGGGTTCCCGTACGTTCGGGCGTTCGGGTTCGGGCGTTCGGCCCGTCCCGAACGCCGGCAACCCTGGAGTTAGGCATATTTGGAGATTGCCATATTCTCAGAAACGGGATTTTGTTCTTTTTCTGAAAATCGCATCTTTACTCCATTTCGCAAATTTTTTTTTTTCAAGATCGCATTTTGTGAAAGCTGAAACTTTGCGGATCCTAGCGTAGATCTCGTTCATAGTACTCTTCTGACATGTCTCACTCATAATAGATCGACAGATATACACACACACAAAAAAAAAAAGGAAGTAGTCTTTTATTTTTTATTTTATTTTATCTTTTGATTAGGGCCGGAGGAAAGTATTGTGGGGTTGGTTGCCTACCTACGTTTTCCCTCCCACCCACCCCTTTGTATGCATTTCCAAGTTGGTACAGTGCCACGTCAGCAGTGCTACGTCAGCAGTGCCACGCCAGCCACAGTGCCACGTCAGCAGTGTCACGTCAGCAGTGTCACGTCAGCAGTGCCACGTCAACCATAGTGCCACGTCAGCAGTGCCACGTCAGCAGTGCCACGTCAGCAGTGCCACATCAGCCACAGTGCCACGTCAGCAGTGCCACGTCAGCAATGCCACGTCAGCCACAGTGCCACGTCAGAAGTGCCACGTCAGAAGTGCCACGCCAGTCACAGTTCCACGTCAGCATGACGGGTCCAGCAATGGGCCTGCCAGGCCAACTGGCCAATGAGTCCATTGCCGACTACAAACAACGCTTCCACGCTCAACTCGCTTTCATCAAGGCTGAGGAACAACGCCAGCTGGCAGACGAGGCTGCCCGCCTACAGGCTGAAGCAACGGCAACAGCAGAGAACCTGCGGCTACAGGCCGAAGCAGACGCAGATGCCCAGGCTCGCCGGAAGGAAGCCCAGGATCTGCTGCAGCGGCGTGAAGCCAACAGCATCGAGAGACTCAAGTTCTGGCACTTTGAACCGAACGGCGACGACGCAACACCGGAAGAGCAGCATAAGGAGTTTCTCTCCAAACTTGTGACATGGTTGTTGTATGCTTGCAACTACCAACAGTCCGAGTTAGAGAGACAGAACCAGGAACTGCAGCAACAGTACCAGGATCTGAAGACACAGCACCAGGAGTTGTCGAACCTCCGCCGGATAGTGCAGAGCCATGAGGATGCAACACGGACACTCGATTCCTGTGTACTGGACCTGGAACAGGCTGTACCAGGACCAAATGATGGGGCTTCCAGCAGTGCACCCTCTAGCCGCCAACTGGAGGAACGCGTTGACCACGTAGTGGCAATGCTGGGCGACATCAGCACCTTCGTGGCGCCAACCACCATCAACAGCTAGCTGGACACGTTGAAGACCGAGGTCCAGCAACTGCAGTCGACGAACTCGGATGGGAATCGAAAGCTGTACAAGATGCCAACTTTCCAACTGGAGAAGTTCGACGACTACACACATCAGGATCCGGTCCTCTGGCGGGAAGCATTCACGACGCAACTTCGGATTTTGCCTGTCGCCAAGCACGCGTACATCGGCGCCTTTTTCCTTAACTCAAAGGGTGAATGCCATACCTGGTTGACCCACCTGGCATCCACCCACGGCGTCGACGTCGCGGATCTGAAAGACAAGATTACATGGGAAGAGTTAACACCGCTGTGGAAGAAGCGGTTCATCGTCGACGATGCACCAGCACTCGCCATCAACCGACTCTTCACCATGTCTCAGGGCAACACAGCAGCACGTGACTGGCTCACGGAATGGCAGAAGATCGCTGTCGTGCCCGATCTGGACTTACCATTCACGCATCTACGCCGTGAGTTCTACAACAGGTCATGCGCTGCGCTGAGCCAGGCACTTGGTGATCGCGAGCAGTATACCACTTTCGCCAAGATCATTGACAAGGCGAGAGAGATCATCAAGACCAACAGGGCAGCTGCACACGAGAAGTCAACGTGGCAGCCGACCTATGTGGAGAAGGTAAAGACCGTCCCGCAACCGCAGCACTTCGCTGCAGTCCAATCGGACAGTGGAGAAGACCCAGCAGACATTCCAGCATCACGTGACGAAGATCAGGTGGCTGCTGTCCAGCCGCGAAGCAACAACAAGTCCCGGAATAATGGGAAGGCGAAACCAGCATCGCAGGCCGGAAATTGACAGCCAGCACCATGGATCAAGTTTAGCTTGACCGAGGCGGAGTACAAGTACCGTGGCCGCTACGGCTGCTGCTACTGGTGCAACAACACCAAACACAAGATCTCCCTTTGCCAAGATCAGGCCAAGGAGGATGTGCGACCCGGTCTCAACTCGGGAAACTAAGTTTCGCGGGAGGTGAGGCGACTCCACCTTCCACTCCGCCAGATTCCGCCGCCTTGCTAACGGCCTCCTACACATCTGGGGAGGATGCGAATGTCGTAAGTTCTCGATACACTTACGAGGACTATGCTGTCCGCTTGGTTGCACCGCTGGACCAACCGCTTCATGTGCAACAATCAACCGCATGCACGGTTTCATCACCATCGGCAACCGATTCGGCAGCTTCGCCGCCATCTATCGCTGGGGATTCGACATCATGGTCAAGACTTGAAGAGCTCGACCCATTAACGTTCGCGGACTTCCAATGGATGCCCGTTCCCTCGACTGGACGATTGCCGAAACCGCATTGCAACGTGCTTATGGCACAACTGCGGGATTACTTGCACACTGCAGTACCGACTTCGTTGATGGACGCCGGAGTAGAGGTTGTCGACCTTCACGCCTACATTGCGAAGATCGACCGCGAGTTCAAGACGCAACGGTACGACGACATCGACGCACCATTGCTATATGTACGCATTCAAATCGGAGAGGCGACCTGCAACGCTTTGATTGATTGCGGAGCATCTCGCAACTACATGAGTCAGGACTTCATGGTACGCGCCGACCTTGGCCCACGAGTCCGAAGGAAGTCCCAGCCCACGCAAGTCACGTTGGCGGACGGTCACACGCACAAGTCAATCGACCGGTGCATTGATGACGTCCCAGTGTACTTCGCCCCTCACGCAAGTGAGGCGGTGTCCTTTGACATTCTGGACACCAAATTCGACATGATCTTGGGCATGTCATGGCTGCGAAGCGAGGACCACCCGGTGAACTTCTACCGCCGCACCGTTCACGTTCGTGATCAGAACGGAGTACTAGTCCCATGCACGGTAGCTCCTCCTCATCCTTTAGTCAGTTGTCACGTGGTATCCGCCGCAAGCATGMAAGTTTCCATCATCAGAGACGACATCGAGGAGATGGGGGTATGTTTTCTCCACGCCCTCCCGCCCCATGACACTTCATCGACGGACTCATCTTCGGATCCACGCATCACCGAACTTCTCGACGCCTACAACGACGTGTTCGAAGGCCCGYACGAAGTAGTACCGGATCGGCCCATCCGCCACGAGATCATCCTCAAGGACGGGGCCGTACCTCCGCGCGGTTGCATCTACGGAATGAGCGAGAAAGAGTTAAGTGTGCTTCGGGCACAACTCGACGACCTTCTGGAGAAAGGCTGGATTCGGCCTAGCTCATCGCCATACGGTTCTCCTGTTCTCTTCGTCCGGAAGAAGAACAAGGATTTGCGGTTGTGCATCGATTATCGCAAGCTCAACGCGCAGACAATCAGAAATGCCGGCCCTCTCCCACGCATCAACAATCTTCTCGAGCGACAGGGCGGCGCCAAGTTCTTCTCCAAGCTGGACCTCAAGTCGGGATATCACCAACTCGAGATTCGGAAGGAGGATCGCTACAAGACCGCGTTCAAGACGCGATATGGGCATTTCAAATGGCTGGTTATGCCATTTGGCCTTACGAATGCCCCGGCCACTTTCCAAGCGGCTATGACAACGGAGTTTCGACACATGCTGGATCGATACGTACTTATCTACCTCGACGACATCCTGGTGTACAGCCGGAGTTTGGAGGAGCATGTGGAACACCTACCCACTGTTTTGGAGCGGCTACGATAGGCCAAGTACAAAGCCAACCGCGACAAGTGCGAATTCGCGCGGCAGGAGTTGGAGTACTTGGGACATTATGTGACGCCGCAAGGCATCCGTCCGCTTGCGGACAAAATCGAGGCGCTACGAGTATGGCCCGAGCCCACCAACACCACGGACGTTCGTTCATTCATGGGATTGGCGGCCTACTATCAGCGATTCATCACCGGATACTCGAGGATTGTTGCACCTATGACGAGATTACAATCGCCAAAGGTGCCATTCGTATTCGATGACGACGCACGCCGGTCATTCCAAGCACTCAAGACGGCTATGCTCATGGCACCCGTCCTTAGCATCTACGACCCCACCCTGCCGACGAGAGTGACTACGGACGCTTCCGGCTATGGCATTGGGGCAGTCTTGGAACAGCACGACGGCGACGACTGACACCCTGTGGAGTACTTCAGCCACAAATTGCCTCCCATTAACTCGCTTGATGATGCGAGGAAGAAGGAGCTTCTCGCATTCGTGATGGCTCTCAAGCGTTGGCGGCACTTCCTCCTTGGGCGTCGTAGGTTCACATGGGTTACGGACAACAATCCATTGACCTACTACAAGACGCAGGATACGGTGAGCAGCACGATCGGACGATGGATGTACTTCATCGACCAGTTTGACTTCACACCGAAACATCTTCCCGACCTCTCAAATTGCGCAACAGATGCACTCTCGCGAAGACCTGATCTTTGCGCTATGACACATCATGCCTTCGCATTCGACGAGGAGCTTCAGCGATACTCCATCCGGGTATATGAGTCTGATCCGGACTTTGCCACGCTATATGCACAACTATCTTCGGATCACCCGTCGGCCAACCACTATCGCATTGCCGACGGGTACTTGCTCCTCCACTCGAGAGGCAGGGACTTATTGTGTGTCCCACGAGACCGTCGTCTTCGGACTCGCCATCTTGGGGAGTACCATGACTCGCGACTCGCCAGCCATTTCGGAGTCAACCGCACCATTGCACGGCTTCGACAACGATTCTGATAGCCTGACCTCATTACTGATGTCACTCAGTATTGCGACTCTTGCGAAGTTTGCCGACGCAGCAAACCCCGCAACCGCAATCCCTATGGCGAGTTACGCCCGATGCCCATCCCACGGGAACCCGGTCTCTCCATTGCCATGGACGTCACCGGTTCGTTCCCTCACGACCGGCTCGAACACGACGGCATCCTCACGGTTGTGGACCGATTSAGTAAGTACGCGCGTTTTCTTCCTTGCAAGTACTACTCCACGGCTCCCGAGCTGGCACGCCTCCTGCACACCGGTTGGATTTGTGGCCACGGTGTACCAGAAGACATAGTCAGCGACCGCGACACTCGCTTCATGTCGGCATTTTGGACTGCTTTCATGCAGGAGTCCGGCACGGAGATGAAACCAAGTTCGTCTCGACATCCACAGACGGACGGGCAAACGGAGCGGGCACATCAAACCGCTCAAATGATGCTTCGTACGCTCATCCGTTCGGACCAGAAAGATTGGGTTGACCGCCTCCCCGACATCGAATTCGCCTACAACACTTCGGTGCACCCGGCGATCGGCGTGACTTCATTCGAGTTGCACCACGGTGGACAGAAAGGCCGTATCTTCGCCGACCTTCTTCTCCCTCGACCAACCGGCATGGACGCCGCTTGCTCTCCGTCCGAAAGTACAGGGATTTGCTGACTCAAGCCCTCGCGAACATGCAAAAGGCTCAAGTCTGCATGCAGCAGCAAGCCAACAGGCGTCGCATGCCATGTCCCATCCGCGTCGGTGATCTGATTTGGGTCTCCGCGGAAGAGTTTGCACTGGAACAGGATGTTTCACGCAAACTGGTTCCCAAGTGGTTTGGACCATGGTCTGTGACATCAGCCGCGGGCGATGAGCCCGATGGCCCTTCATTTGTGATCAACATTCCCGAGCATCTGACGGTCCATCCAGTCTTTCACGCCTCGAAGCTGGCAACATACACGCCAGCTAAGAGCGACGACTTTCCGGGCTGACGATCGCAGGACCCTCCATCTATGGATGGTCATCAGGAGGTTGACCGCGTCATCTCGGATCGCAAGTACGGCAGCAAGCCGCGACAGTACAAAGTTACATTCAGAGCATGCGATCCCGACGACACTCAGTGGATTTCAGGAGCAGATTTGAAAGCATCTGCACCGCTGATCTACGCTCAGTACGAGCGACAACGGTTAGCGAAGGGACCTCCACGACCTGCCCCTCCCACCCGGACTGTGGTCCCTCCCTCAGACAGACAGCTTCGCCCTCGCAGGTAAGCTCGGTCTTTCAAGGAGGGGGGGGGGTGGCATACTGCGTAGCCACACGAGCCCTCCAGGGCCCGTCCCGCACTTTTAGCCTAAAAGCCTAGAAAATAGGGCTTACAGGCCCCGGTCGTTTCAGCCTGAAACTGAAAAACGAGGACCTGCAGGCCCTATTCCGTTTTCAGCCTATTTCTGGGCCTTTCAGGCCCAGAGGCTTTTCAGCCTGAAACGGAGGGCCATTTTCAGGCCCTCATCGTTTCGACTGACCCTAGGACTCAGGCACAAAAACAGGGTTTTCGGAACAGGCTATCTTTATCCTGTTCCCCACGACAGCTCGAGCAGGAGCTGCAGCTGCAGCCCCTGCCTCCCTTCGGCATTGGCAAGAGCAGCCTCCTGGACTGCCTTGCCTGCAGCCAGGAGGACCCGAGTAGTACATAGGAGGTTCCCATGCACTTCACGGGTAGGTAGTTGTCAGTAGGCACGAGTAGTCTTCAGGATTCGGCCGCAGCACTCGGGAGGAGCGCTGCAGTAGTCTTCAGCGCTAGGCAGTTGTCTTCAGCGTTAGCTGTAGTCTCCGGCGCTGGGCGCCCATAGCCATAGCTGTAGTCTTCAGCGCTGGGCGCTAGTAGGTGGTAGTAGTAGCATTGGAGGGAGATGGCTGGTGGAGGCCAGCGGTACTTACCTGTGGCGCCATAGCTCCAGCTCCATCTTCGAGGTACCTGCATCAAGGCGCCAACTTCACAGGTTAGTACTGGACAGAGAGAGAGAGAGAGAGAGAGTTCTCCTTCTTCCTCTTCTAAGTCCACCATCTCTTCTCACCCTCTCACCACCTGACTTCTCAGACTACGACAGAGAGAGAAAGAGTTGTGACTTGRGACTTGACGMCATTGGATCCAGACTTGACATTTGGGATTCAGACATTTCGACGAGGGACTGTTTGGGCTGTGCCGAAGACTTGGTGTTGAYGACATTCCCATCTTCCCCTCCTCTTCGTCTAACCYCCTTCTTCTTCGTCTGTGTATGGTAGGGGCTGGCRCAGTCTTCCTGTGTGAAGCGCCAGACCCCATTCACACCGTGTAACGATGATGATGATGTATGTTCAGGGCTGCATTGCAATATTGATTGTTCGGATCATTGGTATCTAAGTCTTC